GACATTTTTGTTTTTTTAATTGCATTACAGAAAATAAAGAACTTTATCACAATATTCTAATTTTCTGAGACAGTCCTGTAAAGTTACACTTTAAAATTGGCTTAAAATAAAATTTATTTAATGCCTTTTTTGTCTGTTTATATTTCTAATCACTCTCCGATCTATTAGTGAAAACATATTAAAACATGTGATAAGCCTTCCCAATGACAATGGAGACTTTTAATGTTCCTGCAGTGACATTTGTTTATCTAAAGTCTTTTTTATTAGCAGAAACTATTACATGCCACCATAGAAAACGCACAGGTGTAAATAATAAAAGTGATCAGCTTCAGGCTGCTGGTGTGGATGCTGTCACACTGTCATGGCTTCAATGAAACAGAGCTATCGTTAATGTGGTTACTAACACCTGTGCTTTACCGACTGTTGTGATGTTTACACGAGAACTCTGCTGTGAGAAAGGTCCATTGTTTTGCAGAAAGAGGTTGGCCCAGTATCATGAAACAGCCCCCCCTCTCACGTGGAGGACTGTGCCGGGTCATAAGACCTTACTTCCCCCCTCCCAACTCCCCCCTGTGTGAAAGCTGTCAAGAATGTTTAAAACCTGTCTGGGACATAAAGCCAGTTAAACTAGTTAAGAAAGTAAAGAGTAGTTGTCTTGATGATGCGCTTGGAGGTATATATAAATATATATAAAGAGTAAAAACTCAATATCAGTGTAATGTTTTTGATATGAGCTCTACTAGTCTAAGTCAATGGATTGTTAACGATCGGTCACAGATTACTTACCAGATTATTAACCATCCACTTTACACAAATGAGGATGACGGCATGATTACACCTTTAAATTTGAGTTATATCATGTTTAAAGGTTTAATTTGTGTTGTGTTAACTTCAGGTTTTATGAGTCTATAATTGAACGTTGAGGCCAAAATACAGACATATATACATTATTGACCCATAAGGACAATATTGTCCCTATACACACACACACTGCACTTTATGTGTTCAAAATCGTTTTTGCTAATAATTGACATATCCAAGACTGTAAAAAGGAAAAAACTTAGCATATAGTATTAAAAAAAAAAAAAATTGAAAATGAATTCATGTTCGGTAGTTATGATCAGGACTGATGTTGGTTAATTTTGAGACATTTCAAAATAATATTAAAATACATAATTTTAATAGCAGTTTAGTTGATTTTTCTCTTAAATTAAACTAAAGCATTTTTCTCTGAAACAAGAAATCAACAGTCACCTCAGAGTTGTTAAAAAATCCTTTATCTCTCTTTGTGCAGTTCAACACACTTTAAAACAACATTAAATATAAAACAGTAAATGTCTATTGGTCCTCATATCTCATAGTGTAAAGTACATTCAGCGGCATCTTTCAACAGCCGTTACCAGAAAAAGACACCCAGTCCAGAAACCGTTACCAATGAAGAATCCTTTTTATGGACACAAGAAAGTATCTGCCTTTCTGTTCCAAAGTTCCGGATTAGCATGGCAGAGAAAAGTATCCCTAATTCCTTGCAATGAAGTCCATGTTTGGACAGAAGAAAGGGGATCAGGGGATCAGTCGTTCTTCTCTCTCTTCTCTCTGCGGGCCTGTCGCTTGAGCTGGAGGGTCTTCAGCTCAGTCATAGTGGAAAAGGTCCTGTACACCCACACCATCTGTCAATGCACAACACAAACAATCAGGGGTCAAGTGGGGATTTTAGAACTGTATATGCCGTGTGAAATATAATGATAAACAATTAAGCTTACCACGATGACGATTGTATTCAGCAGAATAGGAATAGAGTAGACCAAAGATATGAACATGCCCTTCGAATCAAAGTACTGGAAGTTAGAGAAGGACCTGAAAGAACAATAACACATAATGAGATTCCTTAATAACCAAAAAGCATGACCTCAATACACATAATTTCTCACCCAATAGTGACACAAATACTGCCAAAAAAAAGGCTTTACCTCCAGTTCATTGCTGCCAGCTCATTGAGATATTCAGCACTATACACCAGGCCAACTGTAAAAGACAGGTAGTCAGTCAGCATACAGTACAATAAAACGCACAGACTAATAAAAGCTCTTGTTGAAACAAATCTAAATTAGCAATACAATATTAACTGATATAGTCCTCTGATTTTGAGAAATAAAAAATATCTTATTTAGCCTTAGATGGTAACATACACATCAATAAGGAGTTGTCCTAACTCTATATTTGAATGATACAGTATGATGTTGACTGTATGTTAGTGTGTGCTGTAAGCCCTGATATATTAGTAATTGTATGGTTGCTGATCAGTTCAGTTCAGATGTTTGGAAAATGTTTACCCATTACCATTTAAAAATCTTATATTTTAAAAATTAACTCATTTTTGGAAGAATGCCTTACATGCTGAATGTAAGTTTTGATTCCATTACTGAGTGAATATATTTGCTTTTCTTCTAGTATGTAAGTTAACCAGCAAATAGTAACTTAAAGCAAATTAACCTCATTAACATATAGCTAGTTTCTGCTTGCTAGCATGTAGGCTAAAGCTTGATTGAGCATGCTAATTGATGTGTTATTGTAATTAATTTAAGACGTTTGAGTCACTTCTTTACTGCATTTTGTATATATAATTTAGTTTTACACTTTAAACCCGAAGTTTTCAGACAGCACAAGTACCTTTCCTTATTAACTTGCTTGCTTATTTACATATCACATGGTAAAAGCAGCCGCAGACATGTTTCAATAGGCTTGTTTGAGACAAGCGAGACCTGCGCAGCCCTGCGCAATTTCGATCAACGTCTTGCTCGTGCGTTGCATGATGGTTAGTCATTTTACCGACTTGCTCTGGAGGCTCGCCTACATGAGACGTTGAAATCTCGCGGGACAAAGACGCCCGCAGCCTTGAGAGCGAGGCGCGGCGAGGCGGCGCAGTTCCTCTCCACGGGCTGCGGAAGCGAAATGCTTGATGGGAAACGACTCGCTGATATCTCGAGCTGAGTGCTTATTGGTGGTGTTTACCACGTGCTGGTGATGAAACTCTAATTGGCTCGGCAAAAGTTTGTTGTTGTTTTGTGTCCGTTTTACGTCGCCACTTCCATTCCCAATTTGTCATCATTGTTCCACAATGTTTATCATCATGGAATTAATATCTATATATTTTATACTATACTTGCACTGCTTACCGTTTTGATACTTTATATATCTTAGCATATTCATACACACTGTTCATACCGCTCACAGGCTGCTGTGTATATCTAGTGTATTCATACACATTGTTCACACTGCTCACAGGCTGCTCTGTATATCTAATGTATTCATACCCCTCCTCACTGTTTATTCATCATTCTATCTTTTATTCTGTAGATTGTGTACATTACTTTTCACTTTACTGCTTTTTGCACTCCTGGTTAGAAGCTAAACTGCATGTCTCAGTACCTGTAATCTGTGCAATAAGAATAAAGTTGAATCTAATCTTGAGCAGGAACAAATGTATTTACTTAGTACATATCTGACATTAACGATTAAACACGTGTGCATTCTTCATAAAAGCAAACTGAGTCAAGCCGACTTCGGAGGTGGCGGTATGCAAGCACGCGCACGCACACACACATCAGCGAGAGCAGCAGCGCATTTACAACTTGGAGATATAACCACTATTTTCAATTTGTGGGGATAAAGGACGCAAAAAATATTACGGTCAAATGTAAACTGTGTCCAGGACAGAAAAGCATTGTCCACATCGAATAACAGCAATGCCAATCTCCTGAAGCACCTCACTAATGCTATAAAACTAGTCGCCAAAGACCCCACCGTCTCAACCACCGGCAGTGACCCAGATGGAGCAACACCATCTAAACAGCCAAAAAACGATTTTTTTTAAATCGCACTTTTGTGTTTTATTGTTCCACTACATTTAATAATGATAATTGCTACAATGATGGAGTTGTCTTTTCTCTTGTGCCACAGAACACAAAAACCTTTATCGTTATTATTTTTAAAGTAACTTGTTACTTTTATAATTTAGTAACTAATAAAGTAACTAGTTACTTTTTAAAAGTAACTTGCCCAACGCTGCTTATTAGTGTGAACAGTGTTAAACGCCTGGCTTCTTAGGTAAAACTGTAAATTTAAAGTGGCAATAATAAAAGGGGTGCTCTGTTTTCCAATGACATTTCAAGTTATTTTTATTGCCTTTCTTTCTATTGAAATGTGTTTTTATTTGATCATTAAAAGGGAAAATAGCTTAGTACTATTTAAGCTTATCTCATCTGATAGTAGGATTCCAATCGACAATGATAACAGTGTTGTTCAGTACTGCATTTGCGTCTTATAAGTCAAAGAATGAAGCAGTGACTCTCCTGTTCCCCCCCCAGGTGGCTACTGGTCAGCCTCACGAAGGTTCTACTTACTCAGCGAGGAAGGACTGTCAGATGGCGCTGAACAGAGCCGAGTACGCCAAGGTGAAACTGGGAGAACTGGGACGAACCTGTGAAGTCATGCTGGAGCAGCAGCAGCAACAACAACAACAGCAGCAACAACTACAGCAACAACAGCAGCAGCCAACATGAGACCAGAGAGGGAATCACAACAAATTCAAGAAAGATGTTGCATTTCTGGGTATATTTTTATGTTCGGTGGCGATGTTTTGATACCAAATGTTTTGCCATAATCAGCACTTGTTATGATCTAGCACCCATACACATTATACCAAGATAAATCTCAAAAGCAGAGGTACAAACCCTCGACTGACACGATCTGTGAGATATCTGTTATTAGACCCATGCAACTCCAATATTACACCCATTTATCACATGGACACAGCACACTATCACCCATTCACTTCATGCCGAGATTAATCTCAGAGGAAAAGCAGAGTGAAAGATTCTCTACCAAAACGATCTGTTATATGTTATTAGACCCATATTATCAGTGACAAAACAATACACAAAGACCATGATGTGGACCTGGATGGCCATTACAGTCTCAACATTTCAAAAATATGAAGTGAAGGCAACAAAGAAAAAACATAATTCCCTGACCAAGATGGGTCTCTCATTAAAGTCAGATCAGGCTAAATAAAAAAGGAGCACAATTCAAGTGCAGCAGACAGTGACCAGAACGTTTTTTTGCCCAAATCTTTAAACAAGTCTCTTTTGTCTTCAACCCCTCAGTAACATTTGCCAAACTGTCCTCATTAACTCTGAAGATGTCACTCTATGACGCCATGCATCTTTCCACAACTCACTGAACTCTGGCATTCCAAAAACCATGTTTTTTACCCTTCATTTGACACTTCCACTTGATTATTTGCACATTTTGTTTAATTTTATAGAGTAAAAAAACAACTCCCAATAAAGAAACGTGTCATGTTTTTTTACTATATGGTGACATCTTATTTAACAGGTAGCATTTTAGTTGTTTTAAAAATTGATTATAATAATAATAAAAGCCATGGTAGCTTACACGTACATTGACATACAAAAGCTTTACATTTACATCTCCACCGTGGGAAAACAAGTGTGTATCCAAAATCATCTCCATAGATACAAAGACACAGAAGCCTGTTTAGATATCGATTGTCTAGCTGGTCTACTTGCATGTTAGATGATGATACAGTATAGACAGAATAATCAATGCACAATCGAGCTAGCATTTTGTATGTGATAAAAAGAGCCCAAATTCTAACGAGGCAGGCCAATATTAGTTCATCACAGATATATTACTTTAGTTTTATACTATATTGGCTGACATGAAATGTAATGCCTAAGAGATGTTTGAGGTATGTAGAAACGATGTCACTTTTACATACTTTTGTTCACAAATTTTGACCCAGTAAAACATTAACTATATGAGCAATAGCGTGTTTTTTTTACTTTGCACTAAAGAGCTGATCTCACGCTTGAATCGATTACTAAAAATACAAAAAATAACTATAAAAATAAAATCATTTCTGTGTATTTAACTCTACCCTCTAGCTTGGTCTGCTCCAGATATAAAAATGATTTATTTATTTCATTAGAAAGAATAATCAACAGGAAGCAGTACAAGTTGGAGGTTCCCCTGAAGACAACAGCTACCCTATCGTCTGTATAGAAAAATACCACTTTTATTTCTTCGTCCTATGAATGAATCCTGAATCACAGCAGCTTGTACAATACTGATATCAGCAGGTTAAAAAATAGTCACGCAGCAATACTTCCAACAAATTAGCCTCACTTGGTTAAATCCTGCTTTTGAACACTAAAATACAACCAGTACGACTTTATACCTTTAACAAGAAAACACATCTAGAAGTAGCCCATACCGAATAAATGGTACAATAAAAATGTGGAAAACTTTAGGAGGCTGCCCTCACAAGTCCTTTTTCCTGTGTTCTGGGGTCGAGCACCTGTGACCTGGAGACTCTGAGAAGTAGCTGCTGGGGAGGGAGGAGCTAACAGAAGGGGTCGCTCTCATCCTTCGTCCCAGTCAGCCCCAGGCGAGCAAAGTCTTCAAAGACAAGGTCATCAGTAGTGGGTGTACTGAAAAGAGAAAGAATGTCATCACTTAACTGGATTTAAATAAACATTTTACTTTAGAAATGAGGTCGAATGGGTTTTTTCAGAGCGGTTTTATATCTGCTAATATATTCATTTTACGACTGATATTATTTGAGCCAGTCTTTTGTTTTTGTAAAAAGGCCAAATATTGTCACTTAGGCCCAATCCCAAATCAACCCCTCAACCCTACCCCAACAACGGTAACAACGGTTTCAAATCAGCATCTCTTTGACAAAAAATGTAAATTAATAACTCAAATAAAACTCCAAACATCTTTCATTGTGTTACTTTTTTGTAAAACTCTTTTAGTTTTAAACCTGATGTTTATAAGCTTCTTAGTTTTTGCAACAGTCTGTAAATATACACAACTTTATAATAAAATGTACACATTTACCTTTTTCTAGACTAAACACAGGTATAATCCTAAGTTAAAACATAGGAGGCTATCATGAGGTTGTTAACATCGCAGTTTATCAGTGGATGTTTGCTGGAACTACTTGTAAACAGCGTGTTTCCTGACGGACACACACAGCGTTGA